AGCTGTTTGTAATAATATTATAACTTTTTGTAATATGCGAGTACTGGCGAAATATTTGAAACATAAAAAGGATAAAGGATTAAGCTCTCGGCGTTGACCAATTCCTGAGGGATGCACCACGAAATTCGATTTCACTAAGCATCGTTTGTAGGTGATTGATTGCATATCTGGCCTTTACAATGACTCGCGGTGGTCTACCGATGTACCGAGCCAGTGCTGCTATCCTCCCAGACAAGTTTGCTACCAATTTTCTGTTCCGGGAGGATGGAAGACTTAGTAGGCCTTGGGCGAGGAGATCGATTCCACTTCTGTGTCGCAGTGGCGCCTCCAACCACTTTGCCACACGCGTCCTTATTTGAAGCATACGTTGGCATTTTTAAAGGAGCATTACAGAGTGTCTGAAAGTAGACTGAAATGAAAATCCAAATGTTACCACTCTCTCAGATGCGGCTCTCGAAGCTGCTAAACGGCTGTGATTTTTTTCTATGATACTATATGGATATCTTAACTCTTTTATTTACTGCCTTTTTCTTCTTAATGGCAGGTTATGTTTCGAATTATAACTCGTATGAAGTGCTGAGATATCTGCAAAACTCCGGACCACAGGTGTATGCAGTGGAGAACGAACACGCGCTGTTGTCCTTACCGGGGAGCAGCGCACTTCACCACTACACCATCCGGGTCCTTCGCTTTGCATGTCTCTCATTCCTTTTTTGAAATGCTGAGATATTTGCAAAACTCCGGACCACAGCATTTCATACGAACTATATGGATATTCTTCTCTCCCTCTCTCTCTCTTTTCCCTCTCTCTCTTTTTCTTATGTTTAAATTTTAGGGCGGTTTTCGTTTTTTGAAAAGAAATCTCACCATGGAAAACAGTGAACACACTCTGTATTTTAGTTTTCGTAATTGAATCACATTTGTAATATTTAAAGCAGGCAACGATTCACTGTAACACGTTTTCATTCCCGACCCTAAACTCACACTTTTCGAAGAGTTTCGGCTTTTGTTAAGAAATTTCATTACAGTTTTAGTATTAATTTTTTCTTGCATTGCAGTATATTTTGCCTTTAGCAGTCGGTGTTGTCATATCGGTGTTTTTCTTCTTAGCTGTCATACGCAGGTCTGAACTTCTATTTTCTCATTTCACAAAGTTCCACTTATAGTTAGTGAAAAGAATACAGAGCTGAGGGTTTCGTATATGTATGAAAGTGTATGGAATGGTATCATATCGTTCTAAGAAATGCATCTGAAAATAATATTTTTTCCACCTATCACTCATCTGTCATATTCCGAAGACGTGAACTACTCGATTATGAATGTCGTGGACAGCGAACTCATTAACACGGTAGTATGACAAGCTGGATATGTTCGATGAAGAAACGTAGATGGCATGCCAGCGATGATAAATCCATCGAAGACATTAGTGACCAAGTTTGGAGGCAGCTGGGTTTTTTACTATATTAGTTTGGTGGTTGGTTTCCTGGCTAACACTGTAGTATAGCAGTCAATATCAAACACTTCAGGAGGGCATGGCGTTGGGAATAGATGGGGTTTCTCATTTAGATGCTCCGCTACTGATCTAAGTGATCGAAATAGAAGGGATTGCAAATTGGAACATAGTCTTAGTTGAGGTGAACAGAATGACCAAGACAATAGTAACCTCTATAATGCTGAGATATTCGCAAAACTCCGGACCGCAGGTGTCTGCGGTAGGGAACGCACGCGGTATTGTCCTTTCCGGGGAAAATGGTGGTGAATGCGTTACTCCCCGGAAAAGACAGTAGCGCGTTCGTTCCTCACCGCAGACACCTGCGGTCTGGAGTTTTGTAAATATTTCAGCATTATAGAGGTTACTATTGTCTTGGTTATTCTGTTCATTCTGTGTATCTATAGAAGTTATATTTTGCAACACATCCTGTCGTTGAGAAAATAAGAAAAAGAATGGGCAGTAAATAAAAAGGTTAAGATTGTGACAATAGTAACCGTTAGAAATAGAAATGCTTAAGGAACATAGTAAATCGTACCGTAAGTTTCATCAAAAGAAGCAAGGTTTAGGTACCAGGAGAAACAAAACTCAGTCGCTCACTGTGGATTCAATTTCCACTTCTACGAATTATTGATGTAAATTAGAAGTTTAGAAACTTAAAGAAAATTAAAAGATATTGGGAAGAGTAAAAAAAGCTTTCAAGGAAGTAGTTCGCATATTATTTCAAAAATGTCTGCACAATTTCAGTTGGTTATTTTAGAGACTCCTCCTAACCGTGTTTGTAACTGTCGTACATTCCAGCAAGAGCTCTCCGACAGCGGGTCAAGCATTTCGTAGTGGCGAAGGAGAACGACTGCTCCATCACTCAGATGTGATTAACAAACGACCGCTATCCGTCAGTCCAACTTCTCAGCATACCACCACTCACATTCACTACGGAACGCCTAAGACCCAGGGTACACTAAGGTGAGCCGTGAAAATCGTGAAAATCTTTCCCTACTCTATTAAAATTTACGATATAACATCGTTATGTGCGAAATGCTGAGGTGTTTTCTGCTACGCTGAAGGTAGCCGTTCCAATGTCCAATGTGTACCAATTTGGCAAGCTGGGCTTCCTTTATATTCCATCGTAATGTTTAATTTTTCATTTACTGTCTAGTATTTTCTTCATGACAGGGCATTGTGAACTAGAACCAAAATGATGCTGAGTGTTGGCAAAACTCAGACCCCAAGCCAGCTTCGAAGCTGCGATTACCTTTTCTGGGAACTCTCGTGCTGCGCACTGCGCCACTAAGGTCTTTCTCTCCCCTTTTTTCCAGGCAGTTTTTTCCCTAACACTGCTATCATCAATCACCCATCAACAGAAATTATTTGGGTAGCACAAATTGCCATTCAACACACTTGTGCTGACTTGGCGATATTTAAAAACATGGCGCACATGCAATACATTTCAGGTTCGGGTTCAGGTTTCACTCAACTTTACAGAAAACCATTATATCAAGTTATTGACAAGATTACACGAGGTCGTGATAATTTCTTAGCATCAGTAACGTTTTGGCCTACTGCTTTCCTCGCAGCCGCGGTTATTTGAGATCAGTGTCCACATCAGTTGTTGTTTCCTGCTGCTGTGAATATTTCTAAGGCGACGGCAGCGAATTTTTAGCCAAAATTAACAGTTTTAGTAACCTCACGTGAGCTTGTTAGTCAGAATTTAAAAACATTACCAAATCAAAGTAGAAAATAATCAACTATGTTCTTATTTCTTCGTGTGGTTCTTTTTTACGACTCATGCGGATCCCCAGCATGGTTGAAATTTGACCTAGTGATGTGTTTCCTGAAGTCTCAGGAAAGCCTTGCGGAAACATTCTGAGAGCTTCATTAACATCAATCAGCGGCTTTTGTGAATCGGAACGCCAGAATGCAGTTTATGTTGCGACCAGAACAACGACGATTCTAGGCGCTAGTTTAGTTGAACAAATTTTCTGATGGAACTTTATGATTTGTTCTTCGTTTAAACGGTTATATCATAGGAGCTGTTTGCATACAAACGAATATGCTTTCTCATCCACTATGGTAAGATACGAAGCCATTTTGGGATCATTTTATTTACAGATGAAAAGGTGGTTACGGCGAGTAAGCCGAGAAAATCTCATGATACAGTTAAGTGATTGAAATATCTTAGCGCAGTCTTTTCTAAATGATTAATAGTGGATTGCTGTCAACTTCTCTATTAATTAGTGTGTTTATATCTTTCTACTTCTGTTCAGCACGCTAAACCAAGATTTCAATCACATTTAGCATAGCTCCGCACACTCACCGCTTTCTATGAGTCTTCCACTGTGTATGTCGCGTGAAGACCGACCGCACAAAAACATGGAAGCGTATTGTGTCCCACCCATCAGAATAACAGGTTTATATACTGTCCAATATCACGCGTGATAACGAGGCATTTCTCCCTGCGGTTCATTTTCGGATTCTTGGAATTTATCCAGAATGCCTCTAGAGTTTTGCGCGCTTGTGTTCTCGATTCCTGTACGAGGATCGTAACCCTTACTTCAAAATCTTCTCCGTTATGTTTCTGCGTACTATGCGTACCTAGTGGAGTACTTAGCTTACGTTTGCCGACTAGGTGTTCTTTATGTATTCTTTCTTTGATGAGCTTGCACGAGGTTGATAATGATTTTTATTTTCGGCTAACGTTTCGACGTCTTCGTCTTTCTCAGAGCCGATGATCCGAGTCGATGGTCCTCGCTTGTTATACGTTTCGACGTGGCAGCTTCGCTTTCGTGTCGAGCAGGTCTTCTTCAGTGAGCCATCTTCTCGAATCGAATGAGGCATCCTCATTCAGTTTGTGCTAGCTGATAACAACACCGACTTCTGCACGATGTGCGCAATGATATATGTCCGGAAGAAAAACAAGTTGTTATCACCGGACATTATCATTATATCGACCATCAGCATCGTGTATAAAAGGGCTCATTCGAGGAGATGGCTCACTGAAGAAAACCTGACTCGACACGAAGGCGAAGCTGCCACGTCGAATAACGAGCGAGGACCATCGACTCGGATCATCGGCTCTGAGGAAGGTGAAATTCGCCGAAACGTCAGTTTGTGCGTAAATAAAGAAACAAAATAGCACCTCGTGTTTGCTGAACAGAAGTAGAAAGATATATTCAATCAATGCCGAGGTTAATAGAAAGTCGGACTTGGGTGTTACTACAAGATGTACCAGCAAGATATTGTGTTCATAATCACCTTGCGGTGCCATAATGAACGTCATCTCCACTAAACCATAGCGTCTGTGTTTTGATCCTTAACTCTTTATAGACCCTTCTTTTATGATATGTTTTGTTCTATTGCGGTAAAAGCTAAGTGCCTTACACAATTGAACGATTTTATAAAATTATACGATAAGTAAATACATTATGCTGATGATCTATGACGAAGCGTCATTAAAGTGCGCCCAACCTTATGAGTTCATCAATCCGGTAGCTTTTATTTCTAAGGCTAAATGGTAGTACAGTATAGTCCAGGGGTAATGGAGCTCGATAGGTTTGTCATTTAAATCGACCTTTGAGACATAACTGAAAACACCAGCGCAATGTTAGCATCTCTTTGAAAATTAATAACTATCAGAATGAAAGAGAAAACGTTGAGGACATTTTTCTTCTCGTTTCGATGTTAATAATTTGTATACGAGATGTAATTGCAGAATGAAGCGTAACGTTGTTATCGAAGTCGTTCTAAGACAGAGTTGAAAGTTGTTCGTAGCTTTTCATCGTTTTCTGATTTCAATCGATAATTTCTCTAAGCTTATATTTCAAGAACAGGAACAAGTACTTATAGTTAAATACTTTAGACACATTGCTACAACTCACTATTATTACAATCCAAATGAAAATATATTTAAGCCGGAAAAAATTGGTTGGTCGAAAATCTCCACGTCGTTTTTTTTTTGCCCATTGAAACGCTGATAGTGGGATGTACTTAAAAAATGACAGCGCTCTAAAATATGAAGAAGAAAAGGAAAATGGCAAAGCATTTGGCTTGACGAATTGACCAATTCATGAGGCTTGAGCCAAGCATTCGATTCGCTTCGTCGTATCGTGAAGGTGTTTGAATGCTTTTCTGACATATACAATGACTTATGGTTGAGAACGGATGTACGAAATCAGTGTTATTATCCTCCTAGATTAGTCTGGTACCAATTAACGGGCCCAAGAGGAATACAATGTTCGGTTTGTGCGGAATGCGGGATCGAACCAATGACGGCGTGTGCGTGACTACTGCTATAAACGTCATTTTTTCTTTAAAAAAAAGCCGCCAAAATCAACCCTATGCCCACCGCCACGCTTTGAAGTCATTACCAATGTATTTATATTTGTTGTATTATATTTGCTATTTTTATTTAAAAAGCAGTGCTTTAAATGACGTTAGTATTCCGAACAATTTGCAGCCCTTCGCTACGCGGAGTTCCGTCATCGGCGAACTACGGAAGTGGTCATTATGCGAGTGGTGGAGCTCCGAGCAGTGAACGTCCTGTAACTGCTCGACCAGTGCAAATACAACATGAAATCAATCCACCACCGATGCCGGTAAATCCACCATCAGGTGAAAACGAACGGCTTTTGCTTTAGTGCTTTGATGAAGAGTTAGTGCGACTTAAAAAACACCTTGTTATTGAGAGGCCTCCTCAGTGCGCTTAATGAGCAAGTGGGTCAATTATGAGGAAATTGAGTAAGTTACACAGGAGGTAGTACATGTATGATTAGAATGAGTTCAACGAGAGTAGAGAGGTAACGAACTGATCAAAACCTGGCGTTAAAGTAGCAGCCGTAGGGTAGCTCACCAAGCACTTCCGTGGTGCAGGCTTGCTTTTAGCCGAGTTTCCGAGTGATAACGTTGATATCTTTCCCAGTTAGAGTAACCATGCTCTGAAGCTGAACTTACCGCTGCCCATCATAAATCGGCACCAAGGAGCAAGTCTAGCCCTCCTCGAGGTTCAATGAAATTCTCACTTTGACAGAATTCAAAAGATAAAGTAAGAAAACAACTTTTAATTAATGTCACCTTTACTAAATGACTAACAAGTCTTGCACGTGTTAACAAAGGAACTATATGTAATGTCGCCGTTGTGTTGATAACAGTGTGGGGTGTGTAAGAGATCGTGTTCCACAAATTACTTCGAATTGGAACTGAATGCACTAATATGCGAAGAATCAAAGTTCAACGACTCGCCTAAATATATTCATCATATTTTATACCAGAATATTTTTGCTCGACACTGTGCTCGTCCACGTCTATGTGTTTTGTTTAGAGTCTCGTGTACCACCATCTGTTCGAAGTGCAGTGTCTCCGAAACGATCTAAGCTATCGCTAATCCAGTGGCCACCTACAAGCGGCTTACCTACAGTTCGATATTGGCAGATCGATCCCTCTTCTCTATTTCAAAAAGAAAAACAAAGTGAACTAAACTCTCTACAGAGTATGGTTGAAGCAGCAGATCGAGAAGCACCCAAAAAGTTAAATTGTAAGCAAGTAGCGAAACGATTACGTGTAACCGCTGGACTTACGCACTCTCCAGTATTTAGAAGCAACATGAGGAATGTGGATAACAATCAAAGCAACGCTATTGCAAGTCCACCAAAAGCCGATTTATCAGCTTCTATCCCATTCAGTAGTCCCGACCTCGAGAATGGAGTTCAGAATGAAAGCTTAAACTCAGGAAACTCGACAGTTACTCACCAGCAAGAAAGTATAGAGCTCAGACCAGAGTATATTAGGGAGGTACATGAGGTAACTGAGCGATGCGAAATCTTGGCGGAAACTCCCAAAGTCTATTCATCAACACCTTTATCAGAGTATTCTATACCTTATATGAGGGAGTCAAATACCCAACCATCCAGCTCTCTGAGGGTACAGAGAGCCACTGTCGACTGTAGCACATCACCAATACCAACAATAGAACTCCCACGGCGGCGATCTGCTACGGCACAGTCGATGGGAATCATAAGAGCTCTTTCCCCTATTCCATTTAGCATAGCTTCGCCAAAAATTTCACTGTTATCAGAACAACAATTTTCGGAAACTATTCCATCCTCTCCGAAATACCATCCTGTTTTAGTTGATATAAATACCACGTCCACACCACCGTCTTCTTCTCAGAATGTACTGACCTCTCCAATTCACAGTGGAATGGGGTTGAGTAAAGAAAAATTTGTCAAAAAAGTAGAGTTTTCTAAAGCAACAATTATACCGGACCTTTCAAACGACGTTTCGAATGCGGTCGACGAGACGGATGTTTTAACACAGTTATCACCAGCCAGCTCAGAACCGTTTAACTCGGACATAAACATTAATGTTCCTTATGATGGTGATATATCAGAGATCTGCGACAACAAAAGCGATACAGTCTCATCTGCTGACATGGATTTTATAGATGAAAAGGAGCTGTGGATGAAGGAGGAATTAGAATTGGCGAGAAAAGAGGAGTTGGCCGAGCCGGGTGATATAACTAGAGTCAAGCCGTTTACTGAAGAAAAGGAGGAGTGGCGACAACAAGCTATGGCTCTCTTGAACGACGAGTCTCAAACGGAGCGCGACATGGAGATAGTGACGGCTTTGAACAAAAGACTTGAAGGTATCAGAGACATGCAGGAGATAGATCGGCAAAGGGCAATAGACTGTATTGAAAGACACCAACGAAATCTCGAAGGAAAACAAGTAGAACTTAATGCACTTCTCAACAATGCTATAGAGTTTCTGAAGAATCTCGAAACAACAGAGTCATCCAATATTTCTACAAATGCCGACCAGCGCTCTTCAGATGAAACGTTGTGCCGAGGCACATCTTCCGTGACCTTTAATACTCAAAGGTAAAAGTGTTTTTTTCTTATTCGCGCTTATGCTGCTTGAAAACGAATACTGACCGAAACGAGCTGCGGGTACTGTGATGACTCTTACCCAGAAGTATGACGCAATATGTATGATTAAATATATGTCTGTAACATAATGCCATTGATAATGAGCAGTGTGTCACTGCGCCACAACGACCAAGTGGAAAATGGCCGAAGAGAAAAAAATGGGACCAGAGCGAAATTTTTGCTGTTAAACCTTTTTATTTTTTGGTGACTACAATTTTTAAAGGCAGGGTATGATGTGAAATACAATTCTTGCTGCTTTTCTATAGCCCAAATAGAATTAAACCATGTTGAATGACATCCTACCGGAAAACACTGTGACCGAAAAGCGGTCTCACAGAAGATATCTGGAACTCTGCTTTAAAAATATGGTTACCTTTTTTCTAGGATGTACATGACTTGCTTGTGGGAAATGAGAGTGTAATATGAAAGCTAAAAGAGCACATGCATTAGGCTGGGAGTGACAACTTTGCCAATTACCAAATAGAAACAGACGATTTTGATTGCGCTACTCCATCTCAACGGGGCAACAGCCTGGCTTTATTTAAATTTTTGGGATACGGTGTGTGAAAAAGTGGCCAATAGGCCGCAGACTACTAGTTCTATCTATTACTTACCGTATCTAGTTTCTCCCGTGTACGATTGACGTGTACTCAAGTTATGTGCTTTTTCTGTATCATGTTCTTGTCTATGTTTTTATATTGCTCATATGGTATGACTGTCTATTTGTGTGCGTGTGTGTGTTTATCGATGTTCGTGCTATGTCCGTTTCAGTCAATGTGATGACATGTCAGATGCATTAATGACGAATCGCCAACGTTTCCATAGCCCTGGCGATTTTATATCTGAACATTTGGGTCGAATTATGGCTAACGACGGTGGTTTTTTTTTCAAATGTTTAGAACGACTTAGTTAGCCTTTAAGAAAGCAAATTACTGGATCATTAATGGAAGAGGTTTAATGAGTAGAAGCGTTTAGAGCAGTCATTTACTCGTTCGACATTCGAGCAACGCGTTGTCACTGGAGGATCTCCGGCCGGCAGCAAACCAATTGAAAACAGAGGACAGGTCAGTTAGAGAGTTGAAATCGCTGTAAGCGGTCGATTTATCCCAGTGGAAATGGTTTGTTCTCGTTTTGGAAAAGAGCTGTATTCGTATGCATAGGCTTATTTTGGTATAAAACTTTATGGAATCGTTTACCCTCAGTGCACTTGTTTTAAGGGCTCACTTAATTATCCAGGTGGTCGAATCCCCTATTGCGAAGCATGCAAACAGCAAATAAGGTGAGTACATAAAGATTGTCTACCTAGTTGCTAAAATATTTTCCTATTACTGCTTTTTCATGGAGGCAGAAACACTCGGCAAAGCTTGCCCACTGTCTTCGAGGTCGCTTTTGTTCCCCTATATCAAGAAATTGTTCATCTCTTGCACTGCACTGGAATGTTTTCAAAAAATGCTGAAATACAGATTTATCGTCATCCTTGTGAACAGCGCATGTAGCACCATGAGCTGAGGTGCTACCTTGCGGTACATACCATTTTGTCAATTCGACCATGCAGTCAGCACAAACCAAATTTTATTCCTTCCTTCGTGGCCGATAAATTGGTGGCAGATTTGTCTGAGAAGATAAAAGCACTGCCTTGATAGATCGGTAATCTCTCTCAAGTAATTGTACACGCCAGATATATATTTACCCAATCTCTTCAACGATTAGTCGAGCGCTTGGTGCATCTCTTAAGAATTGATGACTGTCAAACGCTTTAGCCCTCACCCTTTCAGAAGCTGGTAATCATTGGCTCCATCGGATTTTTTCGTTTATTTTTGCTCATCTCTGAATCCCTCTAAGTCTACAGTTCCTTGGAATGTTACAGAATCTAATACACATACTTGCCCGTAGTTGTACTCTCAGTGACATCGATCTGAATTAGTGTTGGTGTTCAGAGGTGCATTCGTGTTGGCTACTGGACTGACGTGGTGTCCAGAGCATTTCGTATGTGCGTATCGCGGTTGTGGACGTCGACTCCTGGAGTGTGGTTTCGTCGAGGAACACGGTTCCAAGTACTGCGAGTCCTGCTTCGAAGCGCACATCGCTCCGCGTTGTGCAAAATGCTCAAAACCAATCGTTGCGGTGAGTTTAGTGTACTCTCACCACATAGTTTTCCTTATTGGACAAAGCATATCTGACTGAATCCGTCTTATTCATAACGAAGCATGGACTACGCCACATAAATTACTAAGCGTAAAAAACCATCTCATTTCTTCCACCATTTACCGAATTCGGCTTAATTTTTCATAGTTCTGCTTTGTAAAAATGAAGAAGAATATGAAATAGCATTCTCCGCTTTTCATGCGAATTTACATATTCAAACCATACCGAAAACTTCACAAAATTTCGGGTCCTAAGAACAGTTGTGTTGTTGGTTGAAGGGAATGCTTTCTTTTCATTAACTTGGATTTTTCTTCTTTTTGGTAAATTTATGTCTTTTGGATATTTCCATTTCGTTCTATTTTGTTTTCTGTTTTTCCTCCTTTTCAGGGTGTTTCCAAGAGTTCTTAAATATCATGAGTGGATAGTACAAAACCTAAAATGGTTCCTCAAAATGCGCTCCATTACTATGAGAAATGTCGCGAGAGCGAATCGACAGTTGAATTCCTTTTGAAAATTTTTTCGTATGCATTTTTATTTTTATTTTGTTATAAGGGCGTGAAACATAAAGCTTATAGTAATTGTTATTTTAATCAAGTATGTTTATTATTATTATTACAGTTTATAGCATTAAATTTTCAACAACATATTCCTAAACAACTTTCCGGGCTGGGAGAGTTCGAACCTGAATGTGTTAGGTCTCTGAGAAATTAATGTTGGAATTCAACTTGCATTTTTACTGTTGAACATCTCGCGTCAGGATAAACTTTATTAATCGAAATAAAATCCGTTCGAATTTACACCGTTTAGCTGACCAGAAACAACTTTATTTCTAGCAGTTGCAAAGAAATTAGGGCATACGGAGGCGATGAAGTCATCGAAGGCAGTCTAAGCTTCGCTTTCATTTTTAAAGCATTTCAAAGTTGTGGCCGTTAAGCGAAAAGTCTAGGACTATGGTGCATGAGGCAGATTTTCGTAGCTCAGCTCCTCCAACTGCTGCAAGGTCAACTGTTCGACATGTGCCCATTCGTTATCATGGAGAAGAATTGGTCCTTTCCTGATGACCAAAGACGAGTGCAGCGCAGAACTTCCTGGTTCGTTTCGTTGATAGGCTGCACGTACTTTTCCGCCACAACAGCACAACAGCTTCACCTGGATTCAGGGAACTGTGATGGATCAAACCAGCTGTAGACCATCAAACTTCCGTTATTACCTTTTTCAGTGAACTTTATCTTTGGGAAGTGCTCTGGACTTCATCCAACCCCTGGGCTGATTGCCGCTGGTTATCACAGTGGATCACCTCGTCGCAAGTCACAATGCGGTTGGAAAATGGGTCGCTCTGGCTGCTCTCAAGAAAAACTCCGGTGGTACCACAAGACGAGAATTTCTTTGATTGTCATTCAGTTCGTATTCTGCCCATTTGCCGTGTTTCCTCGACTTTATAACTTTTTCAGAAGTACCGAAACAGTTAAATTGCGTAGTTCTTCTGAAAATATTCGAACAGTTGTGGGCGTTTTTTTTCCAACAACCCCTTCAATTCATTGTCACCAACAGCAAAAGGACATCCGCGACCTCCCTCACCTTCAACGTCTATCTTGCCATGAAGAAAATTTTCTAACCAGTGTTTCAGTGTGCATTTGGTAACATATTCTTGGCTAAATATTTCTTTAGCGTTTCTAGCCGTTGACGCTGCACTACATCCAAGTTTCAACTCCTAAAAGTGGATTTGTCCAAGTTGCCGTTTTGACATCTGAAGTTCCAACCTTCAAAATTTATTAAAAACAATACTTATATTGCAATTCGATAACACATTGGGAAGGCCCATGAAATGAAAAAAGAGATTTCTAATAATATACGGTGGCATAATTCGAAAAAAAAAAACTACTACTAAAAGGTGTGCGGGAAACATGAAATTATAAATCAGACATTAATCTCCGAAATTTCGTCAAAGTAAAATTGATGATAAATGATAGCTACACAGTTTATCTGACAAGGTATTAATAGTGTAAGAGAATCGTGACAACCATCAATTCGTGAAAGGATCATCATGTTTTTAAATGTGGTCCATCGCTACTTGAAAGCAGTTATTCGATTCATTTCACTCTGCGATAATGTTCTAATTTATGCTATGAAACAGTGAGATGAAGTAGCTGGTTGGTTCTACCTACAACTAAGGGACTTTGAAGTGTTTGAGGAGTTTAAGTAAATTTTTACTCGTGTGCTCAAATATTTGCCTACGCCGTGATGCAGCGTTCGGAAAATTTCGTACTGGTATGGTTTGTGCACAGTTTTCATAAATAAACATGGAACGAAAGTGGATTCCAATCAACCTATTATAGTGCATGGAAGAACAGCGCATGTTTAAAGCTCTCGTGCAGAAAATAAGTAAAAGAAAAATGAGAGGCGTAGGGAAATGTTTATAGCTGCCCTGCAATACACATAAGCCTTGGTTTAACCCAGTGTCCACAGCAAACCAAACCTTCCAACCCTCCGTAATCAACAAACTGGTACCAGACTAATCAACAAATATCCTTCTACTTTATACGGCCAACGCTTCAGGTTCTTCGCCTTCTTCAGAGCTAGATTGATCCGTGACGGTTGTCTACAGTTGCTCCTTCTTATTATGTAGGTCTTCGTGATCACATCGATTCGAATCCAATGGAACACCGCTCGAGTGAGGAAACCTCACTCGGCACTGGGCAGTGCTCTATTATACAGTACGTTTGTTGGTGATAGTGATGAGCCGTTAACACTAACTTGTTTCAACCGGGCAATCCATTCTGCAGCAGTGTGTATGATTATCAGCTAGCACAGAGCGTAACAGTATTTCAAAACCCGGCTTTCCTTTAGACTCTGTATGGCTAATCAACGTGTGTTCTTTTTTAAGAACTTCGTGTTAGCTTACAAATGAAACAAATTCGGGCGGTGCTCCATTGGATTCGACTTCATGCGATCAGGAGATCCACATCGGAAGAAGCAGGAACTGCGAACAATCGATTCGGATCAAACCAACACTGAAGAAGGCAATTGCGTCGAAACATTAGCCCAATAAAGCTTTTTCTTTGAACCTTGTGTGAGCTCGTCAATGAAAGAATACATGTTATCACTTGCGCCGAGGTTAAAGTAGGTTTTCGAAATATTGATAGGAGACTGTTCCGGGATAACGCTAACTTTTTTATTTACTGCCTGTTACAATTTTTCACAGCGAGGTATTATAGAAATTCAATCACATCGATGCGGAGATAGTAGAAGACACTGATTTGATACATCGACACATCTAGAGACCACTGCATTAGACGAATGCGCATCCATCCTAAGGAGTTAGCTGATTATTTATGGAATGCTATGTCCATTAACTGACATCAAATATGCAGGTCTTTCTAGCTCTAGCATTGGTCCCATAGGTTCCAACTCGTTCAAATTGAACGTCGAGGATTTTTTTAGTGACGCACATCTAAAAATACTCCTACTAGTTCTAGAAATCGGAAATACCAAAAATTAATGTTGACGTATATCCAGTAAGAAACAAGGGAGAAGTTGTTTTGAAACAACGTATGTTCTCTTCCATATAACGCAATATATCAAATTGTTACTTTCACCAGCGTAATATAAATAGTTCATGATGTTCTACGTATCTGGACCAATTCGGTTACGACCCTAAAAGAAATTATGAAGTTTTTTTTGGATTCTCATGCCGTCGTTTCAGGATTGTTTGAATGCAATGCAAAAGAAATGGCATCCAACCTGTTTCACGTGTGCTCATTGCCGCAAACCGTTTGGAAACACTGCATTCTATCTGGAAAACGGTCTGGCGTATTGCGAAAACGGTAACAGTATTTACAAGCTATACTTTACAAATTTATATTAAGCATGTGCACAAATTTTAACATCACACTGTCAGTTTCACAGTGTGTGTACCGCAGTGGTTAGAGATGGCTCTGCTATACCCATTAGATCGGTCGATGGTTCAATGCTGCCTGAGCTTACAAACCCTTCCATCCCTACAGGGTCAGCGAATTTATACGAAAATGTCTGTTAGGATTAAAATACTGGACAAATGGATTGATTCCGCATGTTACTGTCTGGCATGAATATGTTTTATCTCCATAAACGTCACTTAATAGCGCACTTCCGAAGCAATGATTAACACATTCAGCCGATCTCTTTAGAATTCATAGTCACAATCACCTGTATCACCTGTAGTTCCGCTGATCGTCGAGTGACTCCAATGGGTGCCAGTAAATCTTTCATTTTTCTCTGTCACGTGCAAGAGTAGCCCAGTGGGTTCTGCTCACTCTAGGGACTCGTCGAGCATCATATCTTTCTTCCAATGCTTTCATGAAAAACTCTGACCATCGCATCGGTGGTCTTCCTGCAGTACGTTTGACATCCCGAAGAAGCCATTCACTAACGGCTCTTGTCCATCAATTGTCATTCATACGCACTACGTGTCCGGCCCATCTTATTTTCGACTGTTTGGCGTACAGAACGGCATCTTTGGTTTTTGATCGTTGACGCAGGCCGGAGCTTCAGATCCCTTCCTTACTTGCGTGATACGGGACACTCCTGGCATCGTCCTTTCGACTGCGCGTTCAATGACTCTGAGTGATTTTTCATCCTGTTTACGCAGCAACCAGGTTTCTGACGCATAGCCACGAAGCCTACTCACTACTTCCTCGATGCTCTTGAAAGCTCCCCAAGCCGCTCCTTTTCTCCGCCAACTCCGGAGCTAAGCTGTTCAACATGTTGATTTCGCGACCTAGAGACGTAACTAGAGCATTCGGAGATATTCGGCCCGTTAAGCGTGAAAGGGGCACTCGAGAACAATGTGTTCCTCGTGAACATCGTTTTGTGAGATTTATTCGAAGACCATTCTTTTCACAGAATTTGTCGAAGTCGGCAAGCATTCGTTCCGCTTGGCTAATGTTTGGTGATATATGGACGATACCTTCAGCAAAGCGAAGATGGTGTAATTGCGGATCGTCGATTTTCACTCCCTTGTTGTCCCATTCCAATGTTCGCATGACATTCTCGAGGATGGCGGTAAACAAGTTTATCGAGATAGTATCGCCTTACCTAATACCTTGTTTGACGGTTGTTAATATCGTTGTAGAATAGCGATGTCTTGGTTGTGAAATTTTTGTACAGCTCACGAAGAATCTTTATGTTGTGAGTAGGGACTTCTTGACTGTCAAGGGCTTCCTTGAGTGCTTCTATCTCAACTGAATCAAAGGCCTTCTGTAAATCCATGAGACAGAGCGGTCTTTTGTACTCTCACGATACTTCGATGTCTTGTTATCGCGTGGATGTGATCCATCGTACTGAATTCTTTTCGAAACTCTGCTTGCTCACATGGCTGTGCTTTGTCCAGTGTTTTGTCAATCCTGTTTAGGCTTAGGCCTCCTATAAATATAAATCTTAATATACTGCCGTAAAAATTATAGTGGTCGGAAAATAAAAACTAAAACATTGGCTGAATTGTTTTTCAACTTCGGACGCTAGTACGCGGTTGCTTGCTTGCTCTTACGATTCCACGCTGGCGTATCAGTTCGAGAGTTTCTGGAGACAGACGTCTTTTGGTGATTTTAGAACTCTGGGCTTTCATAGCGCTAACGTGGAGATGTTGCATGAGCCGATCGTATTCTTCGTCGATGTTATCGAGGACAGCATCTTCCCAACAGTCGACTAATGAATTGAATAAGTACCAGTTTACAGTGGTTCTGAGACTTCGTTTTTTGAATTTAGGGGCTTTTTCTCCTTTCTTCGGGAAGTGGAATCTTGCACGAAGGAGGCGGTGGTTTGTAGAATTTTAAGACAACAGCGATTTCGGCAAAATCTTCGATTTACTATGATGTGGTCTATCTCGTTGTGGTGCTCTCCACTGGGAGACTCCAACGTCCAGCGTTGAGGGCGGGGCTTTGAAATTGCGAGTTACCATGGATGGTCTTGGTCTTCATGATAAACTGAGAGAGCCGCTCACCCTGTTCGTTCCATTTTAATCCGTGAGTTCCACTATGACGTTCTTCAGAGGTTCTTCTTGGTTCAATCTTCGCGTCAAAATCTCCATTGGTGGCCATGAGAAATGTATGATCATCTCTGTAGAATTTCTCGAAGTCCATAAGGAACGCTTCGACTTCCTCGTCATAGTTAGTTGTCGGCGCGCAAACGACGAAAATTGTCAAACCCGGTATTGATCCACATCTTTTTAATCGCAAACACCCGATTCGGGTTGTATGTTGTTCGAATGAATCGATGTTCATGGACAAACTCGTGTTGACGAGAACGCCGGCGCCCTCGACTCCTCTAGGGTCGCATGTTACGAGGAACAGTTCGTCGCCGGTGTCATAGACCGCGTTAAGTGGGTGGCGTCGTCTCGTCTCGGCCAGGCCGGTGGCGTCGTACCTTATCCTTCTTGCTTGCATGATCAGATCCTCTACCGAAGAGTCGGATACAAATGAAAGTGTACGTGCATTGTAGGTGCAGATCGTTACTTTAGTTCTTCGTGATCCAGACTGATTCCATTGGTCCTAGGATTTTAGCAGCCCTCTCCGTACTCGTCCTACCCAAAGTGCCGAATTGGGTGCTCTTTAGGGGTTAGGGGAATAAGGATTGTTTTTTTTTACTGTGCTTAGCATTTTGATACTCACTTATAGCTTGCTGGTCTCTGAACATGGGTGCTGTGTATACTCACGAGTATCTTGCAAGGCTCTCCATGAGTGAACATGGAGCTTATTTGTTGAAGGCGACTTCTCCTAACCGCCTCCCATATATTTCCCTGACACTTAATTGCAGGTTTTTGGCCGAGAACTGACTCGTAGAATGCAAACAGCATAAACTTGAACGCACCCACACACGCATGCATGAATACGCCTAGCAAATACAGAAAATATGTGCCAAATCGGCGCAGCAGAAACAGGGAGTCCATCCCTGGATCCACCTTCGTCTCAAGGAAACACACGGTCGCTTTGGTCCGTGATTAACCCCCTATCCGCCACCTGGAGACGCGCCACGTTGTCTCGAGACTAATCGGCTGGAGATCCCTTATATGAGAGACTTCCGTGGATAGTCACAATAGGAAACTCATATCCTCTCTAAACTTTAAATCGCCTTTTTTCGGCTCACTATGAATTTCATGAATTAGAACTGAAAATATAATGATGCTGAGTTTTTTAGCGGTATTACCCTTTGAGGGGGCTAACGCGTTCACTACCACACCATGCGTGTCCTTCGTTTTGCCTATCTCTCAACCAATTTTCTATCTACCAGTGCCATTTCAACTACAGCTTCAGCTTAACTGGGCTCGTTGCCAGTTTGTGTTGCCCAGATGAGTTCCGTCGTTGAGAGAATACTGATGGCGCTGGTAGATAGAAAACTAGTTTGTGAGACGAGTGAAATGATGAACCCGCATTGTTTGGAAGTGAACGCGTTATCTCCACAAGGCGTTCGTTCTCCACCGCGGACACTTGTTGTGTATAGTTTTGCAAATATTTCAACATTATTACGGTTGTATTTCACATAATACTCTACCGTGGGTAATTGTAATAGGCAGCAAATAAAAAGTTAAGATTGCAACTAGTACTGTAAGAGCTTACAAATCTATGAGTACAGCGTGAAAGCGCTTTTTTTTAACCATGACCATGACGAAATTCTGATGTTCCCTAGCTCATAACATCTGTTTCTTCTAGTTTTTTGCCTCAAAGCCCATATTTTGAACACGAAAGCAAACGAACTTTCACAAGATATCGTCTGTACTTGCATCGGCCGTTGTTTCGTTGTAATCTTTGAACACTCAGAGTTTATTATCAGTCTTTTAGAGCTTTTAATTTCAAACATATTTAAAATTGAAAGGATACTATACAAGAAGGATAAAAGATAAAGTTTTCGGCCTCGATCAATCCCTGGGGATGCGCCATGCATTCGACTTCGTTAGGCATTGTTGGAAGTAGTTAAATGCATATCTTGCCTTCACAATGACTCCTTGTGGCCTACAGATGTATCGAACCGGTGCTGCTATTCCCCCAGACATGTCTGGTACCAATTTATTGAGCGCGGAGGGATGGAGGTCTTGGTGATTCTGGTATACGTGGATCGACTTCACGTGTATTGCAGGGCGCCTCTGACCACTGCCCTATACGCACCCTTTGCATACTATATAAAAGACAGTTATGTGGTTATTTTGATGGAGTAATATATGTTCCATTAGTTTCTAGCGTTTTCAACCTTTTAAATGCTCCAAATATCGAGAAATTATCTTCCGTTGTCGGAAAACCATCAGCTCACCATCGAATGTCCTAATGGCGGATGTTTTATGCTTAATGCTTTAAGTCGTACCAGTTTAGTTCTGAAATCCTCTTTCCTCCAAACGAGTTATAGCTCATTAGTATTAATTGCCAATCTGTTTTAACATTAACATAGAAAGACTGTGACATATAGAGAACATTTCCCGTGAAATGTTTCTTATATTGATTATATATTTTTCTTAGCATTGCTTACTCCTATCATGCAATCTCTTGTATTTCAAACCACCTAAGAATGCAATCTCGCCTGATAACTCGTCCTTGCGACCTTGCCCACCTAATCCAAGCATGAGCAGCGTCACATCAATCGCTTGGATGTTGGTCACGCCATCTTCACCACGTTCCTAATGAGCTTTCTCTGTATGACATGAGCTGTGAGGCCTTGTATTCAGAAATCAATAGTTCTTGAATGCTATAACAATGTGGCCAACTACACCAATGTTAATGAATAGATAATGTGAAATTATGCAGTACTTTTTTACTTCAATTAAAAGTGTAATACTGTCACATTGTAGTAAAGTCTTATAAAATAAGAATCCCTGAGATAAAGAGCATCTTCTCAATTGTTTCCCATTTCTTCCAACAGCATTCGATATCGTGGTTTTCCCTCACCTCAATGAGAATGGGTTTCTGCGTTGCTGGCAGAAAAAGTGAGAAGCCACCCGTCCTCCGGCTCTTTGCAGTGGCACTTCACTTTTCCCGTTTTCCAATTTCAGACTGGAATGCTCTATTCACAACGAAATGCGTTGCGTGTAAGTACCCGATCGAGGCCGGTGATAGATGGGTGGAGGCCCTTGGCAACGCCTTCCATTCCAATTGCTTCAACTGCACGGTAAGAAAGTTTCCTAACACTGAAATGCAGATAGAAATAATAATTAATAATGAGGATGTGGTAACTGGTTTGGGAAATGAAACGATGCTTTAAAGTGACGTGAAAACTCATACTGAACGAGTATAACCCTAACATAGTAAACGGTTTCACCGAAGAACTGAAGAAGATGAGCGAGAAAAAACATAAGGAAGAGCATATTCACTCAATTTTTGACCAATAGGTCTATTTTTCCTATGTGTTAACTTTTCTACTGATAATATGGATAGTTGTACCTCCAGTTCTGCCTTCTGAAATCCGACATACCATTTCGTCGCTGAGAAATCGAACAATACCAGGTCCGGACAGAATAACACCAGAATACCTGAAAAACCTTCCGCCAGTCCTCGTAAGCACGCTGGCTCGGCTCTTCACACGTCACCTGTCTGAATGCAAGGTCCGTACTCAGTGCAAGACCGTGTTGTTTGAGAAGGGTGACGTACACGATATCGGCAACTATCGCCCAATCTGCTTGCTATCTGTCATCTACAAACTTTTCATTCGAGTCATCCTAAAGAGGATTGGCAGAACACTGGGTTAAGGACAGCCATGCGAGCAAGCAGGGTTTCGAAAAGGATTTAGAACAATGGACCACATCCACACGATAACAAGACTCACTGAAGTATCGCGAGAGTACAAATGACCGCTCTGTCTCACTTTCATCGATTTAAAGAAGGCCTTTGACTCAGATAGAAGCAGTCATGGAAGCCCTTAACAGTCAAGGAGTCTCAGTCAGTCCATAAAGATTCTTCGTTAGCTGTACAAAAATTTCACAACTAAGATATTACCATTTTACAAAGATATTATCATTGATCTCAAAAGAGGGGTTAGGCATGTTGACACCATCTAGCCAAAATTATTTACCGCCACCCTCCAGAACGTCATGCGAACACTGGAATTGGATAATATGGGAGTGGAAATGGGTGGTCGGCAGTTAAATCACCTTCGCTTTGCTGATGACATCGTCCTTATAACACCAAACATTAGCCAAGCGGAACATATGTTTGCCGACTTTGACAGATCCTGTGGAAAGATTGGTCTTCGACTAAATCTCACAAAAACGATGAAACAATGTTCATGAAGAACAGATTGGTTTCGCATGCCCCGTTCACGCTCAACGGAACGAATATTTCTGAATGCTCCAGTTATGCCTATCTAGGTCGGAAAATCAACATGTTAAACGACTTAGCTCCAAAGTTGAGCAGAAGGAAACGAGCGGCTTGGAGAGCTTTCAAGAGCATCGAGGAAGTAGTTAGGAGAACAAAGAACACCCGACTACTTGCCCACCTTTTCGACTGAACGGTACTTTCTGCCCTAACGTATGCATCAGAAGCCTGGTCGCTGCATAAGCAGGATGGAAGATCACTAAGCATTATTGACCGTGCAGTCGAAAGGACGGTGCTAGGAGTATCCCGTGTCACACAAGTAAGGGATGGGGTCCGAGGCTCCGTCCTGCGTCAACGATCAAAAATCAAAGATGCCGTTCTACACACCAAACAGTCGAAGGTAAGGTGCGCTGGACACGTAATGCGTATGAATGACAACCGATGGACGAGTGCCGTAAGCGACTGGACTCCTCGGGATGCTCGACGAGTCCGTAGAGTGAGCAGAACCCATTGTGCTACACTTGAACGCAACAGAGAAAAATGGAAGATTTACTGGCGCCCGCTCAAGTCACTAGACGATTAACGGGACAACAGGTGATACAGGTGAATATGGATAGTAGTGATTAAAAAGCTCGAGATTGTCAGACATCGAAATCGGTTAACATGACAAGTTCACTTCTTGTGGGAATTTGTACATATCCACCATACTGTATGCTGAAGATTACGTTGAAATGTTACCACTTGAACATTTTAAGAAGGAAGTAAAACGTTTGCGGGATTCATTTAGAATCCATGTGATTTTTAGTAGTCGAGCCGTCCAGTCCTTTGACATTAATTAAAAAGTACAATGGTTGTTCGTGTTTTCTTTCTTAATGGCGTACGTTTTTCCCGTTTTAACGATCGTTCCGATCTGGAAAGGAAGATTTTTTTTTGCAAACGATTCCCTTTCGGTTTCAGCGAACGTTCCAGTTTGCAAGTGATCAACTTTATTTTTGCGTGGTTGACCATTCTGCACTATGTGATCAGTTTTTCTTGCCACTTGTTATTCTCAAGAGAAACCCTTTCATACAGAAAATGAAATAAAACAATTTCTCATTTTTTTCTGTCTAGCGATGCCACTCAAATTTGGAAGGCGAGAGCTTCTTTGCGAAGAACGGTCAGCCGTACTGCAAGATGCACGCGTAGATGATGTGATCGCACATTTGTGTGGAAGGCGAAGATCAGTAGCGGTTGACACCACCATCGTCTGAGTTCGAGAGAAATTGCTTTCGCTCTATTTTCATCCTTTTCATTTTCATTAACGGCTTCAGCATTTTGTTTCCTTTTGTTTTGCAGCAAGGAACACGCCTATTCTAAGATGTTTTCAGTTATCTGAACGATGTCATTTGTGATAGTTAATAAGTAGCCTTAGCAGAGCTCATACAGAAACCTACCATGTTCGATGATTTTTCCTTAGAAAACAAGGTTTCTTTTCTTTTGACAATAAAGAAATCCGTGTACTTAAATGAAGCGGACCGATGAAAACCATTGTTTTTAAAAATGTTCAGCCGATAACCAGCCGACAGTGTCGAACCAGTGCCTACTCTCTTCTTTTTCATAGATGAATTCGTCCTTGTGCTTTTATTTGCTCGAGAATTCTATTGCATCTAAAATAGTCATCATCATCCCCGGAATGATCAGCTTCACTGAGAATTCTCAATATTGTACAACTACAATCTAAACGTAACTAATGTTGAATCACCCTTAACCGCTAGCTGCTCTTTGGTACATCGTTTTTCCTTCATTGTTATTGGCTCAAGTTTACTATGCAAACTCCACATTTGTGTCTGACAAATCATTTATTCATACTCTAATAGATGATTTTATAGCGACTTGAGCTTGAATTATTGTTGAAGGTTATGTCAGATACTAGAAATATGTAGAATAAAGGATATGTACAGTAATAAATGGCATCCGTTCAAACTCAGTGTATGTACCAGCAACCTGATGATGAACCTGTTCAACCTGTTCATGATTTTGGTTACGCTATCACAATAAATGAATGAACGAATGCACAATGAACAAAGAACACAATGAAGAGCACACAATAACACGCTCTGAAGAAACCGAATGACGCAAAAGCACACATTAACCAGACCGAAAGGTTCGAAATACATAGATATCGCATTACAAATTAAGTAGGGGGAAAAGAGATTTATGGACAAAGGACCATTTTATCAAAATGCGTAAGCACACTTACAATGCGAAGTGTGTGTATCGATTAACGTCAGGACAGGATTTGAGATGAAACTTAGTTCGTGGTGAAAGATTACGATCTACATTGAAGTATGTTAACGCTCGAAACAAAACAAGAGCGAAAACGAACTTTCGTGATTGGCTTTAACGCATTAATACGATGACTTTTTCAAACCGACCACCATTTAAACTCACTGTTGGCAATCAATACCTTGTTGGATTAGTAAGCCAACATGAGGTTGATAAAAAGACGTTCGGCTAACGTTTCAAAGCCTTCGTCTTCCACAGAGCCGATGATCCAAGTCGATCGGCTGAGGAAAGCGAAAACATCGAAGCGTTAGCCGAGTAAACCTTTTGTCAACTTCGTGTTAGCTTAAAAATCCAAGAAGACATTAATACTAATATTGATAAAATAGTATCTAATTAAATAATCTACATCAGAAGAGAGAAATCCGACCACCGGCATAAATAAAACTGATGCCTTCACTATGATTCGAGCTTCCTGATTTCTCATAACCTAACTGAGTGCTTATCTACGATTCTAACGAGCTACACGAGTGAAACTAAACGAAATCGCCGCATTATTGGCTCAGTATGTCTACCGAGTCAACGATGCTCCGTTTCCCAGCGTTCCATAACCGCTCGACTCGTCACCATCATTGCTAACGTCATGAACGTTAGTAGCGGTTCTCATGCCTTCACTATGATTCGATAATTTGCCGTTCTTCTCTATATGAACGACAGGAGAACGAAGACTGAAATATTAGCTACTAGTTACGTGATATATGTATTTACAAAAAACTTCTCTTCAACAAAATATTTTGTGGGTATATAAAACCTCAACACATACCCTTGCATATACGGACACTTTTAATTGCCCCCCCCCCACCCCAAAATAACTCTGCGTATTTCAAATTATCCGAGAATCTAGGGGAGTTTCAACAAATTTCCTATTCTTATCTTGCATTAACTTCTTTTCTAGCAAATATCAAGCCTCGGTGGAATTCCTTTATCATTTCCCAAACAGTGTTCATCATTATCACTCAACTTTCTCCTCAACTAAATAGTAGAACAATGTCATGAGATGACTAAAATACCTAAACTTTTAATAAAGTCGCTTCAAAAAACGATTTCCGAGAAACCCTGAAATAGTAAAGCCACTCGACTGAAAGCAATAACAAGCTTTATATAAATCATTAAAGCTAAAATTTCAAAATGAAAATGTCTGACTATAACACCTTCTTGGTGTGGACTTCCACGATTTTGCGGCGGTTTGTTCATCGATATAGAGCAGATATTTATAAGCTCTTGAGAGAAGATATACACTTAACGCCGAACCAAACAAACAACGTGTCCACGTGGGCGTCCTACAAGAAAAACGTGTATATGGTAGAAAAACTGCTATTCCTAGATACAGCAAACATACTTCTGCGGAATTAACGACTTAATGAGAACAGCGGCCAGTAAGCTGCCAAAATTGAAGATTGTAGCCGAAATGACACTGAAATCGACGAATTTGCTAGCTGATCGTAGAGACCGTGATAAATAAATGATAAGAGAAATTATTGAAATATAGCAATAAATAATTATAGTGGGCCACGTGTATCACAGTCGTTAGGGATGCCCTGAAATACATACTCGGTCGTATGTTCGTCCCAGTGACCGAGGCCTACCAAGCCTCCCATCCCTTCTGGGTCGTCAAATTGGTACCAGACA